CCATGGCTCAGTGCTATGGAGTTCTGGGAATAGTAGTTTGTTGTGGCACCAGAGCGCTCATGAGAGAGAAGGTTAAATGTCTCACAAAACTACAAATCCCAGAATTGCGTAACACAGCCAGAGTGGTTAAAGTGGTGTCCAATTGCATTATTTTTGCAGTGCGGACACAGTCTGAGTGGGTTTCATGGCCAAGCAGGAAATTGAACCCTGGTCTCCAAAGTCGTAATCCAGTGCTCAAACCACTATGCCACACTGGTTAAAATCATACAGGAGGAGAGGAAAAGGACGGTTTTAGTCCATACCTCCACATCCTCTCAACTTAGAACAATATCTTGATAACATGCAGGCCTGGGACTAACATCATCCTAATTTTTTCCCCTCCTGTATGATTTTTAACATCTTTAGGATCAGTCTAAATTTAAGGCGTTTGACAGTGTCAAGTCCGCCACTGAGTACAGCAACCACCTGCACCTAAGAGCTGCCATGTTTTTTGGCTCATGTCCTGATTTCTTGGCTTGGCCTAGAAATAAATGTCAAGGAAAAATAGTATCTTGAAGACAGGTAAACAATGCAAAAGTTAAACACTTTCCTGATGACGCATTTCCTTCACTCAGCTGCTAAAAACATAGGAGACCTTCCAGGACAAAGTGCAGAACTCGATTTCAAAAGCAAAACAAAACCAAAATAGGTGAGGTAGTGTTGGTGCTATCAAAGCTCAACTTATAACGTATTTTTTGTGAGTTTTCTGGGCTATGTGGCCGTGTTCTGGAAGAATTTATCCCTGACGTTTTGCCTGCATCTGTGGCTGGTATCTTCAGAGGTTGATAGCTTGGAAGTGAGTGGGGTATATATACTGTGTGACCCTTAGTTGGGAAGAAGTGATTTACATTCCTGCAAATGAGAATATCACCCAGGCTCAGGGGTTTTCCCTGCAGACAATGGATTGCTAATTAAATAGACACACACCATATCCTTCTACCCTGAGGCCTTGCCATTCAACAACAAACCAATACACAGATTAACATGTAAATCACTTCCTCCCAACTAAGGGCCACACAGTATATTCACCCCACTCACTTCCATGCCACCAAACTCTGAAGATGCCAGCCACAGATGCCGGTGGAATATCAGGGATAAATTCTCCCAGAACACGGCCACATGGCCTGGAAAACCCACAAAAAACAATGGATGCTGGCCATGAAAGCCTCCAACTTCACTTTCATCTTATAACAAGATTTAACCAGGTGTGGTTAAGTACAGCTCACAAAGCAATTTTATTTAGTATTAAAATTGCTGTGTGTATACGGTATTTGTGTATAGGTAATGCTGTGGAGATAATGTTGTGCCTGGAATGTATTTGTTGCATGCCTTCAAGTCATTTCAAACTTACAGCAACCCTATGATGAACCTTTTTTCTGGTTTGTGTACTGGTAGTGAAAGATGGACTGACTTTATTCTGCAGCTGACCATTCCCAGTCTGTTTGCAGATCAGAGTGGCTCCTGAGATTATGTAAGCTGACTACAGTTGGCCCTCCGCATTTGTGGCTTTGACTTTTGCAGATTTGATTATTTGCGATTTTGATTAATATGTTCTCTCTAGGAATCTCTAGCCTTTGCAGACTGCTAGAAATAGTGCAAATTGAGTCCACTTTAACTGTCCTGGCTCAGTGCTCAATCATGGGAAATGTATTTTTTTCTGAGACATTGAGACTTCTCTGTCAGAGAGCTCTGGTGCCACAATAAACTACAGTTCCTATGATTCCCTAGCACTGAGTCAGGGCAGTTAAAGTGGACTCAATTTGCACTATTTCTGGCAGTCTGCAAAGGCCCTAAGCTAAGTCCTCCAGTGCAATTCTGCTGGAGGTTGACCATAGAGTTGCACTGGAGGACCTGGAGATTCCTAGAGAGGTGGTTCTCTTAGGTAAAAAGAATAGTGGTGTTTTTTTTATTTGCCGTTTTTCCACATTCACAGGGGTCCGTCACCCCTAACCACAGTGAATGTG